AGGCTGAGGGACTGCCAATGGTTCTAAGTGGCGACGCTCCCTCGGGTCCAGGTAACTTCCCAGACGTCCGAACACCTGTGATGAATAGCCCGTAGCGACTGCACAGGGGCTGGATGAAAAAGTCGGGTCTGGAAGCGGTGGCCTGGCTTTGGGAACCCTAAGGGACCAGTGTTTGCACCCAGCCACCTCCAGTCTGCTGGACAGCTTGGCCAGCCGCGCCATCTTTCCAAGAAAAGGAACCCGGTTCCACGGACACGGCAAGGACTTCTTATTTAGATGCTTTCTCCTTTACTCCCGGTGGGAAGGGATTTCAGAGTTGAGGCTGCCATTTACGGGCTGTGGGATGGCAGCCGTGGGACTGGTTTGGGCGCAGGGTGTCCGGCCCCCAACATCACACAGCGAGGAGGGCGCTTCGTGGCCGAGGGAGGCGCACTGACCCGTTTGTGTGCTGAGCAGCAGGTCAGGTGGGCGCGTTATGAGTTGTGCACGGAAGACGTAGCAGAAGTCTCCCCCCCACCACCGTCCGTGGTGGCTTGACGCGGAGCGCATGACCGCAGGGGGCTTGCTACCGTGCGCGGATGCGGTGTTCGGGGAGGCCTAGGGCGGGGCCTCGACTGCAGACACCTGTTTTTCCCTTTTGGGTCTATTTCAGACCACATTAGGCCCGACTGACGTCAGCGAGCTTGTAAGGAGGAAAACGCAAGCATTACTAAACCTCATTAATTGACTCCTTATTACTTTGAAATGTGAGTCAGCCTCCTCACGCCCAGACTTCAGATGATCTCTGTTCAACCTGTAAAAATAAGTCCACCACAGAAAGGCACTGTACAGTCAGGATTGCGGGGGGATGTGGAGCCCGTGGAGAAGAGCTGTCTGCCTCACGCACCCGCAGCTCCATCACCCAGGCAAACAGTTCATGTGCTAAAAGAATGAAAAATAAAAAAAGCTTTTCTCAACGTTAAGCAGGTCCTGGGAGAACTTCTTCCAGGCATGCCTTTGACAGCATTTTATCTCTTTTTACAGAAATAGTCAAAGGGTCTCTTTTAAACACATGTACTGTTTTCAGCCGAGCATCCTCTCTAGTAAGTCACGGTCCTGGCTGCCGTGGAGGCTAGAAACGGTGCCCAGACCAGCATCCGGTCTTCTCGGAGATGCCAGGCTAGTGGGAGAAAGATGTGAGCACATAAGGATGATGCAAGGTAGAAAGGGACACATCACAAGAGATCTAAGTACAGGAAGAAGTTTTATGCCTGGAGGAACCGGGTGCCTGGCGGAGAACATGACCTGGGCCTTTGCGATTTTGGATGGGTCAGCTTTCCTTTAATCACGTCTTAGCTGGGCTTTGAAAGCGTTTGGCTTGCTGAAGAGCTAGTTTTCGAAAAAGACTTTGGATGAGGAGACGACTGTGGTTTCCTTCCATCTGCTTTAATTGGGTTTGTATAGGCCCCTTGGAGGGGCACGCTCAGCCCCAAGGAGGCCATTGGCAGTGAGCATGCCACTGAGCCTCGAACGCGGGTCTGAGCTGCCCGGGGCCTCTGGATGCAGATGTTTTCCAGGACAGTGCTGTAAACGTAGTTTCTCTTCCTTATGATTTTATTGATAACGTTTTCTTTCCTCCAGCTTACCTTATTATAAGAATATAGCAAATAATGTACATATAACCTATAAACCATGTGTTAATCGGCTGCTTGCGTTACTGGTAAGGCTTCTAGTCGACTGTAGGCTCGTAGTCAAGCTTTTGGGGAGTCACAGGCTAAGCTTGGATTTTCTACTGCTGGGGGGCTTCTCTGAGAGTTCTGGAGGCCGGACATCTGGAATCAAGGTGCCGGAGGGGCTTCCTCCTTTCAGCATCTGGGGGGCCCACGCAGTCCCGAGGCTTCCCGCCAGGGTCTGTCTTCGCCCAGGGTTTCCCTCTTCTTATGAGGCCCACTCTAATTCAGTATGACCCCCTCTATAACTCAACGACATCAGCAGAGACCTTATTTCCAAATAAGGTCACATTCGCAGGTCCCAGCAGTTGGGACTTCAGCATATCTTCTTCGGGGGACAAAACTCAACCGGTAACAAAGAGCAATCTGGCTTTTCTTATCAACCGTCAGTAAGCTGCCTCAGGGTGGATCACGCAGCAGCCCAGGTGTGTGCTTCCTGTCACCAGAGCGACCTTCTGAGCCACGGGATGTCCCCTTACCTGCCTGCTTGCTGCCCAAGGCCACGCGCGGGTCCCCATCGGCAGTGACGGCGTCGTGAGCGTCTCAGCCGCGTCTCCGCTGCGTCCCCGGGAGACGCAGCCTGGGGCGGGCTCCCAAGGGCTGGCGGCAGGTGGTGACATGTGACACCGAGCAGATCCCTCCTTGGCGGCAGGTGGTGACATGCGACACCGAGCAGATCCCTCCCACTCCCTCAGCACACAGTCGCCAAAGAAGAGGTTGGCGGGGACCATAAGCCCCAGAGGCCGCCATCGCTCCCGTCCCTAGCCGTGAAGCCGTACTGTTGAGGTGTCCCGGGCCTTCGGGGGGACTCCCGAGGGGGGCCGCCGGAGCATCTGAGAAGCTCCCCAGAAAGCTCCTCCAAGCGCAGCCCTGGTTTATACTCAGGATCCAGCCCTGAAGGCTCATGTTTCATCCATGTTGGTGGCCTCGTCTGGATCCAGGGATGGAAGCAGCTGCTTCCTGTTTGGGAAAAGTCATCCATTGGGCACGAAAGGAGCTGTGGGCAGGACTGCAGACCCCTGTGGCGCACTGCGGGGCGCGGTCCCCACCCCACTTTCAGCGGGCACTTCTAGTTACCTCTGAATCTCCTGACGTGCTGGGTGCTCCGTAAAGGTGCCCGGTAAACCAGGAGGTGACCAGGAGTGTCGTGGTCCCTGACGCTGAACAGAAAAGTGCTAGAAATCACCATTTCTGGCATTCACACATTTAGCTCACTCACTCAGCAAACTGCCCCGCTTCTGAGATTCAGTGGGGCCTCTGGGTGGATAGCTGCTTCCCAGAAGAGAAAGATCAGGATTTCCCGAAGACTAGCCGCACAAACAGCCCCTCCTGCAGCTGGGTACTGCCCGAGGGCCGGGGGAGCCACGGAAGGGGAAACAGAGAAACTTGTCCCTGTTTCTAACCTGAACTTTGGCTGGCGTCCTGGATCCCACCAGAACCCGCATTAACTCTTCTCAGCGTGTCGTGAAGGTCAGCGGGTGACGCAGCGGCTGCAGGTGGGAAGCGACGCGGGAACAGCTCCGTTGCCCTGCGCACCGACTCCCACCGCCCAGCAAGCGGACACACAGGCCCCGAGGGGGCCGCCTGTTTGTGTGATTTACTAAATTCCCCTCTCTGCTCTTAGACACGGTGACCTAAAGAGAAATATGATCCCCAAGAGTGCCTTCGGGATTGTTTGTTTAAATTAAGTTTCATTTGGATTTAATCTTAACCAAGTCTTCAGAGAGCCGGGCGGGCTCCTGAATGGAAGCACGGCGTGCGCGGACCAATGAACGGGACTGCCCGGCCGGGCGGACTCCTCTTTAAATGAGGGGCTTCCTAATGTCACACTTGGGTGGCACAAGAAGAGCGTAAGATGATTAGTTTATGGTCTAGATCATTGTATTTTTATTACACTCATAAAATCTCTGTTTCTTCTCATTTTCGTAATGGCTTCAATGAGCTTCTCCACCTTCTAAAGACACATTAAATTGTTATGTGCTGGAAGGACCAATTTAGTGGGGCAGGCTGCAAAGCCTGAAAGCTGCAAGTGGGACACATGCTTTGAATTCTCATCTTGTGGTTGGCTTTGCGCTAAGGAAAATGAAGGCATATAGGTTCGGGCATAATTCATATTTATCTGTGGGCTTTTTCATAAACACCAGCAGTTTCCATGAGATTCCAATGTTAATGAGACACAGCACAGTGCCGTAAAAGCATTGACTATTCCCATCACGCGGGAATATAAATCAATATTCAAAGAGGAAAATACCGTGGACACGGCTCTTTTTAAAATACCACTTAAAGGGGGTTACTTAATAACATGAACTATGAAGGAAACGCATTTTATATTTGAGCTATGTGGATTTTTTTTTAAATGACAAGATTCTAATTGGATTGTTATATCTGTATTTAAAAGAAATAGAAGATCTCTTAGATACGAAATTTACATCTAAATGCAGTTGCTCATAAATATTTCTGTCAAGTCACCGTAACCCACTGCGGGGAAAGCAGACTCCTCTTCACTCTATAATTTAATATGCTAATACACGTCTGCAAGTGCCACCTCAGCGTGCCCCATAGAATTCATGGTTTTCGTGATTATGCTCCAGTGTTAATACACAGGCCCACAGCCACGAAGTTGGGAGTTGCGTTTGAGAGGGAGTCCCGTGGAGGGCCTTGGTGTCTGCCCCTCTCCGCATTTGGATGTGCGGCCATCGGTTCGCTGTGTCTGGGAGACGCTTCATGATGTGGCTGCTATGAATTATTAACTCGGTTCTGTTTTCATTGAGGAGCATGGTCATATTCCGTGTAGGTACATGAAACCCCAGCCGCTGCTCTCCGTAAGGAGAGCCTGCTTCTGATAGGACGGCAGCTTCACAAAGCAAAATGGTTTTCTAGTCATGCAGAATAATGACAACGACCAAAAAATGATGGTGTCGACCAGTTTCAGTCTGCACCATGCGGAGGGGCGGACATACGCAGAGCGGCGCCCGCCCGCCCGCGGGCCCATGTTGTGGGTTTGTGCCGCGTGGTAGAAAGCTCCCTTCACAGATCCGAAGTTGGGAAGCCAGACCGCTAAACGCGGGTCTTAAGAGGTTCTCGGTGGTTGTTTTTAGTATTGCATGGACCATGGAGGCGACGGGGCGTGTTCTGAGATGGGAAGCCAGCTATGGAGGAGGAGGGTCCGATGGAAGGGGGATGCTGGTCCCTGCGCGAGCACCTTGGGCCCGCGTCGCTGAGCGCGACCACTGCGCGTGTCGCGTGGACCTGCCAGTCACGCGGTGGCCGCGGGCCTTCCCCTGTCTGCAGATGGTGTGGGAGCGTGGCTGCGTGGTCATCGTCATGCTGACACCCCTCTCGGAGAACGGCATCCGACAGTGTTACCACTACTGGCCCGACGAAGGCTCCAACCTCTACCACGTCTACGAGGTACTCCCCAGGCGCCCGCCCACCCACCCGCGGCCGCGGAGAACAGCAGCGCCCCCACCTCCCCGGGCGGCCCCTTCCCCAGGCATCCCCAGGGCCCCGCAGTCCGTAGGTGCCCACACCCTCCAAAAGACCATATGCTGTGGCACCTCGGGCTCTGGCATAAAGAGTGTGGTCTTCATTTTTAAAGTCTTAGGATTCCAAATTCAGACAGGAGGAACCAAAACACATCTACCTCGCAGGGAGGCCCACGAGCCAGGCCCCGAGTAAAGACCCTTCCCGGGTCTGTTGTCGGAAGAGCCCTGCCTGCGCAGCGCTCAGGGCTGTGGGTCTGTAGATTCGACCTTCCTCGAGGGCCGCCTGCTGGCAAGCTTCTTTCTCTAGCTGGACTCCACCCACATCGACAACGAACTGCACCAACTTGGGCAGTTCAACACGTACCAGCATGCATCTGTTGTTTTGCATTAAAAATTAGTCAGAAGGCCAAAGTCCCATGGTGGAAGCGTGAAGATGAATCCTAGATCACAGAGTCGTGGCTTTTGGGCTGCTGAGAAGGGGCTTGGCCCCGAGAAGTGCCGAGTCACGCTATCTGCGTGACTCCTTTGGTCTCCTCTCCACCTCTAGCTGATAACCACCTGCAGTGAAACCTAAGTTATAGTGGAACCCACAGGTGTTCTTGTTCCAAGGTATAGTTTTTCTTGAAGGTTTAGATAGCTTAGAAATACAAAAGATGAAAGCTGGAATCGTTTTGGGTTGTAACACAATTTTCTCATAATCTGACTAATGCACCTAGGTGACATTAAAAACCCACAGTTATCTTTTGCATAAACCCCGTTAAAACTGAGAAGGTGGGAAGAGCCATTAAGCCCGCTGTCGACCCACATGCGGTCCTCGTAGTATCCGCCCTTCGCTGCTCAGAGTGGCTCCCTGCTCAGACAATGCTTTACGTCCCAATGCACCCTGTCCTCCTGTCTAGGTAAACCTAGTCTCCGAGCACATCTGGTGTGAGGATTTCCTCGTGAGGAGCTTCTATCTGAAGAACCTTCAAACCAACGAGACGCGCACGGTGACTCAGTTCCACTTCCTGAGCTGGTATGACCAGGGAGTGCCTTCCTCCGCGAGGTCCCTCCTGGATTTCCGCAGGTATGACAAACAGCGCTCTAAGCAGGGTAACGTGTTAGAGTGTGGGCATAAGAGAGGGGGGAACGCGGTCTGATACCAGATTTCCTGTGTCTAAGAGGCCGTTTGCTGTAAGACACGCCATCCGTTTTATATTTATAGATTATAAATATACAGTTGATCCTTGAACAACACGGGGTTGAGGCACCAACAACCCCCACACAGTTGAAAATACACGTTTAACTTTTGACTCCCCCGAAACGTAACTTCTAATAACCTCCTGTTGACTGGAAGCCTTACCGGTAACATAAGAAGTCAATTAACACATAGCTTGTATGGTGTGTGTATTATACGCTGTAGTCTTACAATAACAGTACGCTGGAGAAAAGAAAATGTTATGAAGAAAATCACAAGGAAGAGAAAATACATTTTCAGCGTCATCCTGTATTTATCAAAAAAAAAAAACTCAGGTGTAAGTGGACCAGCGCAGCTCAGAGCCATGTTGTTCCAGGGTCAACTGTATTGATGATTATATATAGGAGAGGGGAGGGGAAGGAGATTATGTTAAAGGCACATATTAACTGAAAGATGTTTTCTGGTTTTAGAGGACTTAAAAAGGGGGGGGACATAGATGCCTTAGAATTGTGGAAATGCGGTCATTATTTCTGATAAGATTCTCCAAGTGGTAGAGTCCTGAAGTTCATGCTTCACGGAATATGGATGAGGAAAAGGCAGATTTTTAGTTTGGATACTATCTGGTTGGACAGGATAATGAGATGTAACAAGTGTGGGGCCAGATTCCAGCCCGGGTGACCTTAGACCTTGGGGGAGAGCCTGCATGGAAGCAGCACGTGACTGTGTAGTCTAGTGACAGTCTGGAAACGTCCAGTCTTTGTTCACGCTCCGGTCAGCCAGTCGCCCAGGGGGCTGTCTTGTTTTAAAGTGTGTTTATTGAACTGTTGAGATGAATGCTGGACTCCATCTTTCAGGAAGATGTTGACAAGGCAAAAAAGGGGGAAAGTTAAGATGGAAGCTTGGATTGTCCATTGGATTCGGTGATAACGGTGGTCAGCACTGGCTGTTGCATGGTGGTGAAGAATGAGCAGCCACCAAGCGAGGCAGGCGTTGAGCAGCATGATAACTGAGCTCTCCGTTCCGTAGAGCCCCTCTTAACGTTTAACGGATTGGAAACCTGCCTGATCACAAAAGCAGACAGAGATCCAAAACAACGAACTAAGAAATAAAATGCACCTTAATCCAGCATTGTACCCAATCACAGAGTGATTTGTATCTGAACAGTTACCATCCTTGAGTCTCCAGCTATGTAACTCGAGACAGTGGGGTTTCAGGCTGATCTCTGCATTTCTTTAATTTGTGTGTTAGACATTCTCAAGGTTATTGTGATACTATTTCTTTTGCCTTTTAGTCTACTTTGAAAAGCAAAACAGAATTTTTGTTTGAATAGTTCTTTGGATCAAATAGCGTGTGAAAGAGCTCCCGGAGAGACGCGCACATGGCATCTCAGCCATGGCGCACGTTTGCTGACCTCGCCCAGAGAGGCCGAGCGCGCACGATGCATCGAGTCCTGAACGCACCGCAAAGCACTGACTACACACAGTTCCCTCCCAATCCACCCCCACGTCCTGGCTGTCAGATACCTTTCCTTAATACAAATTTATGCCTAAAGACAGGCTATCTAAAAATCTGACCTAGGGCGCATTTCCTGAGATAGAGTCTTCGAGAAACAGCCGTTACTGGCAAAATGGATGTGGCTACACAGATCATCCTAACCCCCGTCTTTACGCTCATCCAGTGGGTTTGTACATATATGCATATGGGCGTACGTCGAAATCCATATCCATATATGGAACTGAACAGTACACAACCAGCCGTCTGTGCTTACAACCTGTCCTGAAGAAACACGGACTCCCAAAGTTCCCTTTCCCCAGAGGCTTAGGAGATAAGGCTCCAGAGGTTTTTGTCCAGTTGAAATTTGCAAGTCCATCAGAATCAAAAGCTTTGCTGGCTTGCCTGCCTCGGCACCGCCCAGTCTTCCAGACCTGGCTGCCTGTCGTGCGCTCGCTCACTGGACAGTGGGCACGAGCGATCGCGTTCTCGGGAGCATCACTCTCGGGCACGGACTGCCGCTTTGGGGTTTTCTGGGTAAAAGAGCCACCCAAAGTTCAGCAATCGGGAAGAGGCTTCGGCTTCCGAAGACACTGGTCGCCTTACGCGCAGGTCTCCCCCTCCCCCCACCCCCACCCCGACCCCGACCCCGAACACTTGCCCAGCCTTCCCCCACTCTGGCCAGGGTGCGTCGGGCACGGAGACGTGTAATTACAGACTTCTGGAGCCCAGAGGGAGCACATTTCCACTCTAAAGAGAAGCTGCAAAAACCAAGAGATAATTAGCATCACATGTGAGGGCTTTGCTTTTAAAAACTCTCTCTCTGTCTCTGAGTCTCTCCCTTCTTGCTGTGGGCAACGGCACTCACAACGCTGATCCCTGTAGAAACGGACAGACCCTTACTTTGCCAGCTACGAGCGGTGGCCAGTGTCATTTTTGTGATGTTGCAGCTAGTAATATGAGCCCAGTTGCATAGTCACAAAAGTGATCATTGGAGGCTGTGATTCTGCTGCAGGGCAGTGGGGGAAAAAGCCCCTTTTCCGAGCCTCTCACGACCTCTGACCTTTGCTTGCTGTTGGTCGCATGGCGGTTCCTTCTCACTCAGTGACCCGGGGGTTGGTTTGTATTACTAATCGTTCTTTCTCGTGAATTCCTCCTGTTGAAATATATATAATATCCATTTTCCTGAATGTTTGCAATCTCTTGCTGACTGATGGTTTGTTCTAATCGAGTCAAACAAGACAGCTGTGTATTTCTCATCTTCATGAATACGCTGCATCTCTGTCTTGGGTCAACCAGGTGAACGCTTTTGTGGACTACGTTTCGCTTTTTACTTTTCTATTTGTGATGTTTTATGTTGTAATAATACAAGCACGTGACTCTTTGTAAATAAAATTCTAAACCATGGCAGCTGCACATTGTATTCACACTGCGCGTCTCCTTGATTGTTCGTGGCTGTTTGTAAATAGGTTTAGCCCGGGGCGGGGCCAGCATGGATTATTAAAGCCGCATTGAAACCTCCCTGGGTCCTGCGGAGGCAGCCAGTTGCAATGTGCTGGAGAAAGTAATACTTCAAATATTCTGTAACAGGAGAGCAGGGACCGCGGAAGCAGTTATTAGAGCATTTAGTCTTCTGTAAGAGCAGTTATTCTTTTTTTTTAAAAAAAGATTTTATTTATTTGAGAGAGAGAGTGAGAGAGAGAGAGAGCACAAGAGGGGGGAGCGGGAGAGGGAGAAGCAGACTCCCCGCCGAGCAGGGAGCCCGATGCGGGACTCGATCCCGGGACTCCAGGATCATGACCTGAGCCGAAGGCAGATGCTCAACGACTGAGCCACCCAGGCGCCCCTAAGAGCAGTTATTCTTAATGCATTTTGCCAAAAACGGGGCTGACCAGCTATGAATGGGACACTCCTGTTCTCCTGGCCCCTTACAGTTACGGTTTTCTGAAACTGATACAGTCCAAACAAGGGAATTTGGTGGTTGTTTGTTTCTTTTTTTTTTTTTAATGTACTACTTTTGCGCTTGGCCCCATCAGAAAAAATGCCCAGAACCTGGAGATTGAGCAGTGTGTGAGAGGCAAACGTTGAGCCTGGACTACCAAGTATGAACTATCACAGACTGTTGGAGGTTCACATCTAAAAGATTCAGCGACCAAGAGATTTCTAATAAAATCTTCTGTTTGAAAGTAAAAGGCCCATAGGAATAAAGCCTCCCTAAATCTAGTCTGACCCTGAGCTTGCTTGATTCTGCACACACACGCATGCACACACCGGGCGTGCACACACGTGCACAAGGGGGGCGAGCATGCCCACGCACAACCTTGTTGGAGCTGGTGGGCCTCACGTCGCTCACACTGAGGTACATCCTGAGGATCTGGCATCATTTTGTCAGACCTAAAGCTCATGTTGCCTTTACAACCTGAGTCAAGAATGGGAGTTTTAAGATTTTTTTTTCTTAATTTTAAAGTAATCTCTACACCCAGCCTGGGGCTCGAACTCACAACCCCAAGATCAAGAGTTGAACATCCACCAGCTGGGCCAGCCAGGCGCCCCAAAGAATGGGAGGTTTTAGATGGAGATATTAGTCGATTCATTTTCCAGTCTGTTTTATTCTCAAAGGCCCAAGAACCTTCCGGGCATTCTGGCCCACTGTTGATTTCAATGAGTTCACTTGTACTTCCTTCACCTTCCCAAGAAACCCTCACACTGCAGTGGACCTCGAAAGTAAGAAAAAGTCCAGCAGAAATAGCCACGTGGCCATAGGGACCCTGAGCAGCTTGTTCTACCCATGTTTCTGGGTCTTCTCATTTTTAAGACATCTTGGGTGGTCTGCAAGCTCCACATGCCACCAATCACTGCTGCCCTGGTGGGCTCCCCACCGTGTTGTCTGGGCTCTGCTCTGGGGGCAGACATGGAAATACCCGCTGGGCACCTGCACCAGCCGCCTCCTCCCTCGCCCCCCCCCCAACCTCCTGACCCCTCGGCTCTGAGGTTTCGAGGCAAGGCCACCAGTTGACAGAATATGAGCTTCCAGCTGACTCTGCTGGGCAGGCAAGCCTTCACAAAGATGTGTGATGTTTTCCCATGTCCAGTGCAAGGAAAAAGATTTTTATTTCTGCACTGTCATTCGTTTTAAATTTAGCTTCATGTCATATACGTTGCGGAAATTCCTAGGGAGCATTTTAGAACACGGCCCTTCACACATTTTTTCATTGACTTTTCTCTATTCAGAAATATTTTATTGAGAAATCTGATGTCCTTTGTAAACACGCTTAGTTGTTTCACTTTCAACAAATTTGGAGCTGATACAGTGGATTTGAAATCAGGGCTTTGTTTTGATTTAAGGCTTGGTTACAAAATAATCTATGCTTATTGTTAATTCTCATAAATTCTGGTCTAAAATCTGCACAGCAGAGTTGTTTGTAAACATACGCAGATTTGTACAAAGGAAGGACTTGTCTCAACTGCGGTTTCTCCGCAATTTAGAAAACCGACCAAATGGACGGATCCAGAAGGACCTGTAAGATGCTGTTTTGAGACAATAGAGGAATAGTATATTCCAGTATGATGTCTAGAATGTAAGAAATTTTGAGCACAAATTGCAAAACTCAAACATTTTAGCAAAGAACGTAGATCCTCATGTAACAACCAACCAGTCAGCTGATCGGAGCTGCAGACGGAGGGGTAGGACAGGCTGGTGATGGAAGCCCCGGGTTCTCACTTGGAAAGGGAAAGGGAAATGGCAAAAATGTAAGAATTGTTTTTAAAGCTCTGTCTAATCATTTAATATTGAAAAGAAAAATAAATCTTCGAAAATGTGTGTGTAATTTTGATTTTCTTTGTCAAAACAGGCTATTCTTGCAAAACGATGTCAAAGATACGGTCTATTTGTTTCGGCTTAAGAGTTAGTTTGCAAGACATAAGAGTCGTAGTGCATAACCATGATTTCTGTCTCTTTTTATTTCAGAAAAGTAAACAAGTGCTACAGGGGCCGTTCTTGTCCAATAATTGTTCACTGCAGGCAAGTACAACTTTTCACACGGATTAACCGGTGCTCCCTACCTGACAAGAAAGCTACAGTTAAATATACCCGCCGAACTCTGTCCTTGCTTCGTAATGCACCTAACTGGCACTTCTGAAGGGAACCAAAGCTGCAGACGGAGGTTTCTAGGCCGCTCATGACGGGCGTGGCGTGCGTGCCCCGCTGCGCCGCACGACCTGCCTGGGCCGCCCCGGTGCTGGGCCCCGCAGGCCACGGCCGCACGCGCGGCCTCACACCCTGTGTTTTCTCAAGCCCGCGTGCTGCCCCCACACAAACACCTTGGGACGGGATTGTCCATCCGTGGCAATGTCTCAGCCGCCAACTCAGCTGAGGTTTGGATGCTGGGGAATGCTCGGGGCCCGTTAGGAGCAGGGACAGCATCGGGAATTAGCACAGGGATGGCCTTGCCCCGTGTAGGATGGGAGTCTGGCCTTTGGTAAAATCCAGCGGCTCCTCAAGCACGTTACAGCCACGCAGATAAGCAGAGGGCCGCCCGAAACTCACTGTCGGGGTGCCGTCTCCCCGGGCTTCACACCCTCCTCATCTGGGTAAAGAACCTGCTCCGATTGGTAGAACTGTCCTACAGAAGGTTCCTTTCTGCTGGATGGAAAGGAGCTCTGTCCCAGGATCAGACCCCTAGTCTGTCAGTGTGTGTGTGTGTGTCGGGTGCGTGTGTATCCGTGTGTGTTTGTGTAACCGCATGTGTGTCTGTCGGGTGCGTGTGTATCCGTGTGTGTTTGTGTGACTGCATATGTGTGTCTGTCAGGTGCGTGTGTATCCGTTTGTGTTTGTGTAAATGCATGTGTGTGTGTCTGTCGGGTGTGTGTGTATCCGTGTGTGTTTATGTAACTGCATATGTGTGTGTGTCAGGTGCGTGTGTATCCGTTTGTGTTTGTGTGACTGCATGCGCATGTGTCTGTCGGGTGCGTGTGTATCCATGTGTTTGTGTAACCGCGTGTGTGCATGTCTGTCGGGTGTGTGTGTATCCGTGTGTTTGTGTAACCCCATGTGTGTGTGTGTCGGGTGCGTGTGTATCCGTGTGTGTGTGTAACCGCGTGTGTGCATGTCTGTCGGGTGTGTGTGTATCCGTGTGTTTGTGTAACCCCATGTGTGTGTTTGTCGGGTGCGTGTATATCCGTGTGTGTGTGACCGCGTGTGTGCATGTCTGTCGGGTGCATGTGTGTCAGCGCGTGTGGTGTGTCCCTGCGTGTGTCCGCGTGCTTCCACGTGGGTGTGTGATGAGGACCCGAGCCGGCCACAGCGGTCACCGGTGTGTGCAGGGGTCCGAGCAGCTGTGGGAGGGAGGGAGGCCCGTCTGCAGCGGGACAGGTAGGGCCACCTACCTGTGCAGTGGGGACGGGGTGGTGAGCGAGCTCTGCACACGTGCGCACCCTGTGGGTCCCCGCGGCTCTTCCAGCTCCCGGTTTGAGGGTCTGGTAAAGCCAGAGCCCCTGAGCCTTTCCCACAAAGGCCGCCGAGACCCCACCAGGTCTCCCAGGACCGCGGCCGGCGTTCAGCCGCAAACAGGGCGCTTGGTCCCGTCATCCCTGGTCCGGCAGTGGACACAGCTGCCTTTGCGAGGAGTGGGCATGGGACAGTCTGTCGAGCAACTGCTCCCGGGGGACTCGCAGCCTCTGAGACGAGGGGAGACGCGCCCTCATGCCTCACAAAGCGGCCGCCTTCCCCAGGAAGGAGCCTCCCTGCCCTCCGCGGGCTGATGTCCTCTCCCGGGGACCCCAGTCACAGCTGGGGTGACTTCTCGCTCACCCCAGTGCAAACACCCTCAGCGCGGACACGGCCAGACGCATCCTTTGTTTATTCTGACAAAACTGACCACGTCTTTGGCCAGAGAGGGAGGAAAAGGGAGACAGGAGCAAATCTACGCAGTCACCATAGCTCATCCACACTGCCGGTGATGCTAAGGCTCCTCTCCCCCTCCTCCCCTTCCTGCTCCCCTTCCTCCTCCCCTTCCTGCTCCCCTTCCTCCTCCCCTCCTCCCCTTCCTCCTCCCCTTCCTCCTCCCCCTCCTCCCCTTCCTCCTCCCCCTTCTCCCCTCCCCTGTCTCCCTTCCCCCTCCTTTCCCCTCCCCCTCCTCCCCCTCCCCTCTCCCATCCTGTGATTCTTCTCACCCCACTTTCTTCCTCTTTCAAATTCAAGCCTTCCTCTCCCCCCACGAGCCCCACTTAACACGGAGGGAAATACGCTGTCGCTGGCTTTGGTGGGCGTGGGGTTCCCGTGGCCGGCGGTGTTCTCACCTCTCCCCTTCCGTTGGCAGCGACGGCGCGGGCAGGAGCGGCACCTACGTCCTGATCGACATGGTTCTCAACAAGATGGCCAAAGGTGAGGCGGGGAGCGTGGCTGCTTTGTGGCGGCCGAGCTGGGACCGCGTTGCCGTGGCAACCTGGGGGTAGTACTCTCCTCGGCTTTGGAGGAGATTAGCCGATGCTTGTCCCTTTCCTGAGTCACGTGAAGGCTGTTTGCAGCAAGCAGGGTATTTCCGGGGCAAGCGCACAGTAGGTGTGGGTAAGCAGCTGCTGCAGAGGTCACGATTAAGGTCAGCGCCGAGGCAAAGACCGCCTTCGGCTCCTTGACTGCTGCAGCAGATCGGTGTCCTTCACGCATTCCGTGCAACCCTCCCTGTTGCTAAAGCTGTGTGTGCGGGGTGCAGTATCGTGGGCCTGCCGTGGCCTTCTCCCCCAGCAACCCCTCAACACCCCCGTCCAGCACACTTTCAGCCCTGCAGCCCCTGCAGCCCCCGCACACACACACGGCGCACAGGGCTTTGCCCTGAAGCATCCTAACCCGAGAGGAGGAGGCACCGGTCCGGCAGCTGGGGCTGCAGGCCCGGCCTGCGAGGGGCCCCCCCTCAGCCAGCAGCGAGCTGCTCCCCTGGGGCCGAGCCTAAGCCTAGCCCTCCGGCCCCCTTTGCCCCTGTGGAGGTGTGGACGCTGAGCTGGTCTGGTCGCTCAAACGTGCTCCCCGCGCCAAAGCCCTGAGGTGTCTCCTTAGAGACCAGGGAGCATGCTCCACAGCCACTTTCGGGAAGGACTCACAATGGACCTGCGTCATGGACACGCGAATTACCATGGCGACTGAGGAATCCTGCGGCATTTTCTAAGCCTCTCTGAGAAAACACCGCTCTTCCCACAGTGCCTGTCCACATCCCACGGACTCGGAAGGACTCGAGCTGAGTGGGGACACCTTCCGTCTTTCTCACCCGTGAACAAAGCGTTCTCTCCGTCTATGCGCACGCGTGCCCAGGCCTGCGTGTTCTCACGGACGGGCCCCTGCCTTCCAGGACGCCCATCCTTCATCCCTTGCCCAGAAAGAGCAGGCGCTGACGATAGAAATGAGTTTCAGTACCTTTTCACACAGATGCTGGCAACTCCAAACTAAGCATTTTCCATCCCCCACTTTCTTCTGGTTAAAAAGGAGAAAAAGGGAATGCGTCCCGAGACCAAGGATGTGGGTGTGCAGCCCGCTGTCTTACACACAAGGACCCGCACGCCCGAGTGATGGATGCCGTACGACCGGCGACTGGAGGGCCCAAACCAGACCCCGGGCCGTGCGCCCCGTACCCTGCTCCATGTCTGCAACCCCCCCGGGGGGGGCCACGGCAGAGAGCAAGAAACTGGCTTTGCACCATCAAATCCTATCTTAAGTGCCCTAAATTAGCTGAGCGCCGGCGATGCGCAAAGAAACCGAAGCAAAAAGGCAAATGATCCGATACTGTTTTTAATGACCTATTTTGGTTTTTGAGCCTAACACAACCCTAACATTTTAGTTAAACTTTCCTAGCTATTGATGCCACTGTGCCTTATCAAATACATCTTTCCATTTGCAAATGTGCAATTATTGAGAGCTCGGAGCTCTTAAGAGAATTTACCTTTCCTCCCTTACACCCGCCCCTCCCTTTCTGCCTGTTGCACACGTGGTATTTCCCTCCCATTAGACCAGAATTCCTTCGGAAGCCTGTGGACCCTCGTTGGTATTTGAGTGACCCCCGTGGTGGAAAAGCAACGTGACACGGTAACCCACGGTGCACATCTGCCTCAGAATGGAACCGGCTCCCCCACAGGCAGCGGACGGACGCCACCGCTTTCTCAGTACTGTGGGGGTCACGTTGGTGTCCTGGATTTTCAGAGGTGCAGACCTGCTTCACCAGAAGCAGCGCAGCCGAAGAATGTGGCAGCCCGAGGGGCCGGCAGGGGCGGGGCTGGCTGCATTGTCCGAGGCCGGCCTGCCATTGAGTGGCTCCGCTGTAGGATGGACCGTCAGACCCCCTTCAAGTGTGGTCAGCCTTCAACAATGGAGCCCAGCCGAGTGGAACTGGCCAAGGAGGGCAGTCTCCAGGCCACGTCTGAGATGGTCACCCCCATTCTGTTCTTGACCTGCTCCCCTCTGCCCAGGGGGCGTGCAGTGTGAAATCCTCTGACCTGGGGCCTGGGCTGGGTCTCCGGAGAGATCAAAGGGCAGGGCGGCCCCTCGCTGGCCGAGGTGGGTCTTTCCCAGGCCGCCACACTGCGCAGCTGCCTGGGGTTTTGTTCTGGCTCGAGCTGCCAGCCCGGTGGGGCCTGGGCTGCCTTTGTCTGGCCTGAGAAGCTGGAGGCCGCGCTGCAGACCCAGCGTTCATCAAATGATCAAAGGCCCAAAGCCTGGACACGAAACCTTTCTTCCCATTTCCTTTTCTTAGAAGGAATGAATTGCATGCGGACCAAAGAATGCACTTCCAAAGCTCCCCTGCACGGCCGGCCTGCGCGGGGCACCCACACCCTCGAGCCCTCGCAGGCCCAGCTGCGGCCCCACGCGCATCACTCGGGCTCCCGGGGATTAAGGCCCGCGTCCTAGTTAGGGGCGAGAACGCGCGAGGCGCAATTCAAGCTTTCTCCACGGTCTAGTTTATTAGCAAGCAGACGACAATGCAGTTTGATATCAAAGCAAATAGGCTCCTGCTCTCTGCCCCGTCTGCAAAATCCTCCTGCACATCCCCTGCTGCCACGAGTGCATTTCTCACTCACAGTTAATATTTTCATCAGAACCCGTTTTCAGGAGCGTGCTCCTCTCTCACCGGAGAACGAGGCTCAAGTGTAGCCGGAATGTGTCTGCAGCCAAGATGTTTTCCAAAGTTGTGCCTTTTAAATTTGTGTCCGTGACATCTCTTCGGCCAGGTGTTTTTGTTTTTGTTTTTGTTTTTAGTTGCAATTTCTTAAAGGAAGTGGGTGCCAGGCGGAGGGTCACCCTGAGGCAGCGGCTGCTAGCTGGCCCTGTCACTCGCCAGGGGGCCATCACAGATACCCACCCACTGAGCCCCACTGGGCTGCTCTGAGTGCGCACCACGGCCTCCCCGCTGCGGCTCGTGTTCGGAAAGCCCCCTGGAGCTTGGGGAGGCCCATTCCTTTGTCTGCTGAGGGCCTCAGGACCAGGGACCTCACTGTACATGGGACTCCCTGCCCCTCAGGCGCACAGGTTGCGGACGTGCCACTGAAGTGGCCAAGCGGTGGGAATGTGGGCGGGCCTGCGCGTCCACGAGGCCGTGGGTCCAGCACCTCCTTCCGTCTCAGCAGCCTGACCTGCTTCCTGTTTTCTGTCGCACGGTGCCCCTCAGCCAACAGCTGCCTGCAGGAGGGCATGTAACAGCTCCATTCTGGTCACTGTCCCTAAAACTCACGGTGCCGCGGGCCTCGTTCCTGGGAACCCCGGCCTGTGTCCTTCCGTGACGGGATTAGCTCGCTTAGTGTCCTCCAGGCTCACCCATGGCGCAGGTGACTGGAACATAGTCCGTCATGTGGACAGACCACACTTTGTTGACCGATCACCCCCGACGGATGGACACTGGGGGTGCGTCCAGCCTGCAGCCCCTGTGCATCATGCTGCCATGAACGTGGGCGTACAAACACCTCTCTGAGTTTCTGCTTCCTCCTCTTCGGGGTACAGACCCAGAGTGCAGTTGCGGAACCACATGCTCGTTGGATGGTTAACTCTCTGAGGACGTGCCACACTGTTTTCCTCAGCGGCTGCTCCATTTCACTCTCCCACCAGCAGCTCACGAGGGGTCTGATCACGCCACGTCTTTTCCAGCCTTCGTTATTCTGTGTTTTTGGAAGTAGCCATCCTAATGTGTGTGAAGGGGTGTCTCGTGGTGGTTTTGATTTGCATTTTCCTAATGAGTATGATATTGAGCATCTTTTCATGTTTGTTGGCTATTTGGATATTCCCTTTGGAGCATTTTTGCCCATTTTTTAATTGGGCTATTTGGTTTTAGTTGTTATTGAGTTATAGAGGTTCTTTATATATTCTGAATATTAATCCCTTATCAGATATGTGATTTGCAAATATTTCCTCCCATAGAGTGGGGAAATTCTATGGGAGAAAAATGTATGTTCATTCTCCCAATGGTGTCCTTGGTGCACGGAAGCATTTAGTTTTTATGAAGTCCCATTTGTCTATTTTTCCTGTTGTTGCCTATGCGTTTAGTGTCCTGTCCAGGAAATCTTTTGCCAAAGCCAATGTCATGAAGATTCTCCCCACATGAATCACTATATTGCACTCCTGAAACTAATATAACACTATATGTTAACTACACTGGAATTAAAATCTAAAACTCAATAAAACTAAAAAACAAAAATAAATAAAAGCAATAACATATACATGCCTGTCAAAAGGTTACCAAAACATATAAAGCAGAAAGGGCAAATTTTCTTACCTCCTCGCCTTCATCTGCAGTTGTGATGACCCTTAACCTCTTTAGCATGCATCATTTTAGGCCTTTGTATATGAACACATACAATTTTTATCTATTTAGCTGATTTTTCCCTAGAGTAAAACATAATCAATATGGGAAATACACAGAAGAATTTTTTTAAACCTATCCCCAACTTTATGTGTCTACATTTAAAGTGGTGTCAGACAATGGCTCTGTGGAGGTGACACTTTTATTACTGTTTCGCAGGTAAAGACATTTGGGCTTACCTCACCAGGGTCGCACAGCCATCAGGTGGCCTCACTGGGATGTGACTTCACAGCCCGGGTCCTCGATACCATTGCCTCTTCCATGCCAATGAACAGACCACCCCATTTTTAAAGTTCGCAGCAAATTGTCTGGTATAAGAAATGCACATCAAACCCACCATGAACTATCAGTTTACACCCATTAGGATGCCTATTATTCACACACACAAAAAAAGGGGGGCGCCTGGGTGGCTCAGTTGGTTAAGCGACTGCCTTTGGCTCAGGTCATGATCCTGGAGTCCCTGGATCGGGCTCCCTGCTCAGCGGGGAGCCTGCTTCTCCCTCTAACCCTCCCCCCTCTCACGCTCTCTCTCTCATTCTCGCTCTCTCAA